GGAAGGACCCTTGAAGTGGGGGGGCCATGGAAGGACCCTTGGGGGGGGTTCCCCAGCTGAGGGTCTCGGTGTGTTCCCCCCTCCCCCCCATCCACAGCGGGTGTGACAACTGCAACGAGTGGTTCCATGGGGACTGCATCAACATCACCGAGCGCATGGCCAAGGCCATCCGGGAGTGGTACTGCCGTCAATGCCGCGGTGAGGGGGCTGGGGGGCCCACATGGGGCTGTCACTGCCGTCAATGCCGCGGTGAGGGGGCTGAGGGGGCCACCCGGGGCTGTCACTGCTGTCAGTGCCGCGGTGAGGGGGCTGAGGGGGCCACCCGGGGCTGTCACTGCCACCAGTGCCGCGGTGAGGGGGGTTTGGAGGGGCTGAGGAGGTGGGGGGGGGGGGGGGGGGGGGGGGGGGGGGGGGGGGGGGGGGGGGGGGGGGGGGGGGTTGGTGTGGGGGGGGGATGCTGGGGGGTCCCGACCACCTGGGTATGTTTTGGAGGGAGGATCTCCCCATTTTGGGAGGTCTTTGATCGCAGGGTTGTGGTTGGGGGGGCTGGGCTGAAAGGTTTGAAAGGGGAAATGGCGGTCCCTGACATCGGGGCCCCTCAGTGGTGGGGTGACAGCAGCAGGTAGGGGGGCTGGGGGTGAGTGAAGGGTCCCCCTGAACCTCCTTCTTCCCCCCTCCCAGAGAAGGACCCGTCCCTGGAGATCCGGTACCGGCACAAGAAGTGGCGGGAGAAGGAGCATGAGGGGGCCAAGGGGCAGGAGCTGGAGCAGGGCCGGGCGGCCAAGGTGGGCTTTTGGGGTCCTGAGGGTGGCCCTGGGGCCAGGCCGCCAAGGTGGAGCCCCAGACTGGGAGGCACCCTGTGATGTGGAGGACGTGGGGGGTGCCCCAATCCCTTAAGGTGCAGATTTGGGGGTTCCCTATATGGGATGTTTTGGGGGATGGACCTCTGAGCCCCTTCCAGGTGCCTGGGTCCCCCCTGGGTGTGATTTGGGGTGTGTGACCCCCCCCAGATCAAGCGCTCTGCCCACACATGTGGGGTGTGCGAGGCAAGGGCATCTCTGGGTGTGATTTGGGGTGTGATTTGGGTTGTGATTTGGGGTGTGTGCCCCCCCCAGATCAAGCGCTCTGCCCGCATGTGCGGGGAGTGCGAGGCAGGAGTGTCCCTGGGTGTGATTTGGGGTGTGATTTGGGGTGTGATTTGGGGTGTGTGCCCCCCCAGATCAAGCGCTCTGCTCGCATGTGTGGGGAGTGCGAGGCAGGAGTGTCCCTGGGTGTGATTTGGGTTGTGATTTGGGGTGTGTGCCCCCCCAGATCAAGCGCTCTGCCCGCATGTGCGGGGAGTGCGAGGCGTGCCGCCGCCCCGAGGACTGCGGGCAGTGCGATTTCTGCCGGGACATGAAGAAGTTCGGGGGCCCCAACAAGATCCGCCAGAAGTGTCGCCTGCGGCAGTGCCAGCTGCGGGCCCGGGTGAGCGGGGCTTGGTGTGGGCCTGGCGTGTGCTTGGTGTGTCCTTTGCATGTTCTTAGCGTGTGTTTGCTATGTTCTTGGCATGACTGAAGCGTGTGCTCAGTGTGACCGTAGTTTGGTGCTGATGTGACGTTGGCGTGAGTTCGGCGTGTGCTTGGCGCGGTCACGTGTTTTATGGGGTCAGTGACGTGTGCTGAGCGTGGCCTTGGCGTGGGGTGAGTCCTTCACGTGTTGTCTGTG